ACGATTTTATCACCTTGCCAAGGCTGAAGATTCAGAGGACTGAAAGTCTGGCAAGTCTCCAAATAACTTCACAGATATTTACAAGGTCTGTGGTACTTTCCCAAACAGAAAGTAATTATTATTGTTACTTTAAAGCAACCATACCCAATTAAATACTTGACAGTTTGTTTCAACCCTGACAACAACAGTCTATCCAAAGAGGAGTTAATTTTCGAATGATGTAATTGTGTCACTTTCTGGATATCATTTTCAAATTAACAGCATTTTTTTTACAATGATTTCCTTAGGGGGCAACTAGGTGGCACAGTGGATAGAGCACCGGCCCTGAAGTCAGGAGTACCTGAGTTCAAATCCAGCCTCAGACCAAACACTTGACACATTTACTAGCTGTGTGATCCTGGGCAAGTCACTTAAACCCAATTGCCTAAAAAAAAAATTACAATGATTTCCTTCAAATAACAATAGAAGAAAAATTAGAAACCTAACAATAACATAAACAATATTGTGGGTTTTAAAAACATAGTACAAAACTTATTGCTAGTCAACATCAATTTGATTGAATGCCCTTCCAAATCATCTTACATTAAAAAAAACTTTATCTATTGATTTGGATTTGAATTTTTTGAATTTGAATTTTTTGAATTTTTGAATTTTATTTGAATCTATGTTAATTGCATTCAAAAACCAGTATAATCAATTACACTTTTAGTTATTATTCATGCAGTTTCTAAGCATATTGCCTTAATGCTAAATATCAATTGTATTTTGTATTAAGGCTGATCTACCATAGAAGGACAAGTATCACAATTATTTCACTTTAAATGAAACCACATTATAATTTTTGTTTTAGGACAAACTCAGTGAAATCAAATCCGGATTTACAATCATAAGTGATATTCAGAATCACAGTTTTCTCAAGGATTATTAACTGCTAGTACCTCAAATTATAGAGCTCATTGTTTTTAGTCCCAAAGATTTATGTGTCAGTCCCACATTCTCATAGACTTCTTAAAATATTTCAGTATTTAAAAAAAAATCTTCAGATCATATGTTGGAAATTTACAGCAAAGATATTACATTTCAGTTACAAATTAGTCCCTAATTAATTTATAATGCCACAAATTTAAGATTTCCTTTATTTGCTTGTCTTTCTTTATCTCTGTAACTCCAATCTGGGGTCAGAGCTGAAATGACATAAAGAAAGTTATCCTGAAGGGTTTTTTTTTTGGTTTGGCGGTTTTTTCCCATTCTAAAATCTTATCTCCTGCTCAAGGTTTGAAATGGGACTAAATCCCTGCTTATTGGGAAGGAAAGTTTAACATCAGGCTACTGAAAACTAAGAAAACTGTTTTAAATCTGAAATTAAATTAATCTTCCCCATCATTTCTGTGTTGTTGCTGAAGGCAGTCTTTGTGTGCTCTGCATTTTTTCCCTTAGAAAGCTTCAATGGATCAAAATCTACAAATGACACTAAACATGACACAGGACAAAGGTTTTCCTGAGAAGTTCACAGAGAAAGAGAAGGGAAGGGCTTCTGCACTGTTGGAGTACAGGTTTAGCCCACAAACACTCAACTTCCTGCATTAACCTGGGGTCATCCTATGTAAATGGATGTAGGTGAACGTTAAGCCACCAGGTTTGTCAGGGTTACTCAATTTACTATACAGATATCAGAACAAGCCAAGATAATACAAATATCAAATAAAGGAGTCCTTCCTAGCATGTTATGTGGCTCAGCTGCCAATACATAGTTGCATATCAGGTGTCTATTTTAATAGTCATAGGAGGATTGGGGGACATATAAGAAGAGGGAAAGAAAAGGAGAAAGGGGAAGAAGGAAGGAAGGACAGAAGGAAGGAAACTAGAGGACAACTGGCACTGAACCCAGAACCCTTGTGTGATCAGCCTCAAGAGGACTATTAATTTGCCAGTAAGGGTGGGTAGACTAGTTCTAACCCTACTCTAAGTAATTTCCCAGGTCAGTATATCACACTGCTCCTCTTATTTTACAGATGCAGAAACTGAGGCCTAGGAAGTTTGAGTGAACTGTCCAAGGTCATATAGCTAATAAATGTCTTTAAAATAATTAATGTCTGGTGTTGGAGAGGGGGGCAAAATGGCAGAATGAAGGGACACAGTGCCATCTGTAAGCAACCCTCCACAAACTTTTCCAAACAGATCTAGAAAAAGCATCTGAACAAATCCAGCTGAACATAGCTCCCTATGGATAGGGAGGTTTGCAGACACTGGAAACAAGATCATGGGGTACTCTGGAATCCAGAGAGAAGCTATGCACTCAAGCAAAAGGAGGCCCTGTACTGGAAGAAGCACCACCAAACACCTACTGCTGTGGTGATAGATGTGAATTGGCAGCTTTTTCTCCCACTACCCAGTTCCAGGTCACAGGTGCAAGCTGGAGTGAGAATGGCATTCCCTAGTAGGAAGGTCCTACTCTGTTGTATAGAGAAAGGAAGAAGTTCAGCAGTAGCCAGAAATAGCAGTAACAGTAACTGGTGTGGCTCGGATCTCAAGTGCAAAGCACGGTCTCACTTCCAGTATCTAATCCAGCCTGCAGAAGAATAATCAGGGCAGAAATCTCAGACCAAAGGGTAGCCTATAATTCTGCTGCTCTGAACTGACAGAGGTGTTACAGCTGGTTGACGGGGATGAAGTACTGCAACAGTCTGCTGTTGCTCAGACTCAAACCCAGGTCAGGAACTTGCAGAGCTCAAATGAGGGAAGCAGCAATCAGACTTTGCCCTAGATCCTGGATCACACCACTTCCAGAAGCTTGTAAATTCCCAGCCTGTTCCTGAGATACTGGAAAAACACAACACTCAATACTCCAAGAAAGCACCAACACTCCCTTCCAAATTGCCACAGAGCTTAGCCCTAACATCAAGTCCAAAGTCAGTAAGTAGGCTGGAAGAATGGCTAAACAGAAAAGGAATCTATCATAAGCTATTATGGCAGCAGGGATGTTCAAGACAAATGCAGGAAAATGACTTCAAAACGTCTAGAAGGAAAGCCTCAGAGAAAAACAGAGCTTGGGCACAAACTCAACTAGAATTCCTGGAAGAGATGAAGCAAGGACTTCTAACTGTTTCTGTAAACAGAATCAAAATATTTGAGGAAAAACTTGGAAGAGAAATGAGAGCTACAGAAGAAAGAATTATAAAGGGAATTTAGCAGCTTGAACAAGAGGTACAAAATCTTTTCCAAGCAACAAACTCTAGGAATGGACCAAATAGAAGCCAATAACTCCATTACACAGCAAGAAATATTTAAAAGGAAGTCAAAAGGCTGGAATAGTAGAAGAAAATGTAAGTTACTTCATAGCAAAAATAACTGATCTGGAAAAGCGGTTGAAGAGAAAAAATTAAGAATCATTGGATTGTCTGAATTTCATGATCAAAAGAAGAGCTTAGACATCATATTTCAAGAAATCTTGAAAGAAAACTACATTTATCCCTGCTGAATTTCATCTTATTAGATTCATCCCAGTGCTTCAGTCTATCAAGGCCCTTCTGGATCCAGTATGTTAGCTATTTCCTCCAGCTTTGTGTCATCTGAAAATTTTATGAGATCTATGCCTTTTTCCAAATCATAGGTTAGAATGTTAAATAGCACAGGACCATGCACAGATTCCTAAAGTACTCTCCTGGAGACCCCCTGCTATGCTAACATTGAACCATCAAGTCTGTACTATCTAAGTCCATCTAATTATATTTAATCTGTCTCTCCACAGTATGAAGAAGAATATGAGATACTTTATTAAATGTATTGTTATAAAATAAACTCTATCCACAGCATTCCCTTCACCTGCTAGTTTAGTTATCCTGTCAAAAAAGGAAATGATGTTTTAAACCTGTCCTTTTTCCTTTTTTCCCCCCACCACAAATATGTGTATTCATGCCAAACAAATTCCTGCATTAGCCATGTCCAGAGAGAGAGAGAGAGAAGGAAAGAAAGAGAAGAAGGAAGGAAAGAAGCGAGAGACAAAGAGAGAGACAGACAGACAGACAGACAGGCAGAGGAAAGAAAGAAGGAAGGAAGGAAGGAAGGAAGGAAGGAAGGAAGGAAGGAAGGAAGGAAGGAAGGAAGGAAAAGAAAGAGATTGGAGAATATTAAACCGTGTGGTATTAATTACAGCTATATATTCAATGAAGTGAAAAATCAGTGAAAATCAGAGATGACTTCAGGAGCTAGGGTTTGAAGAATGAGTAGTATCTATATAAGAAAAAGGAGAACAGGAGGACATGATGGCATTCCAGATTGGGAAGAAGAGCTTGAGTAATGGCATTAAGAGTGGGAATGGGTATAATGTATGAGAAAGTGAGTAGACCTATCTGACTAGAGTGGAGGTTAGTACTGGGGAGCAGTAGGACATAAGTGCAGCTGAGACAGCTAGGTGGCACAGTGGATAAGTGCACTGGGCCTAAGGTCAGAAAGACCAGAATTGAAATCAGATTTCAGATGTTTACTAGCTGTGCGACCCTGGGTAAGTTACTTAACCCTTGCCTGCATAAAACTAGAGAGGAAATGGCAAACTACTCCAGCATGCATGTCAAGAAAACCCATCCATGAGGTCATGAAGAGTCAGATATGAGTGGATAACAAAGAGGACATAAGGGTGGAGAAGTAGGGTGGAGTTGCTGTGGAGGTATTAAAACTAAATCTCTAAAAAATAACAATTCAGTCTTTTTATTCATTCATACCACCTTAGACAAAAATAGCAAATTTCACTATACTTTTAAGTTTAGAATGAATTTTTAGATTTGGGGACATATCTAATATGGTCTCCTAGCAGCTAAAACCTTTTTATGAACCAAAGTGTTTTCCACATTACAGTAGACATTATATGTATATGTGTGCATCTGTATATATGTGTGTATGTCTCCCCCGGGAGGGAAGTCATATGATGAACACTGGAATTTTATCTGCACAGAAATTGTTCAGCGGTACCTATTTCCAGTTCACTTGGCTTTATTACGTCATAGGTGTCTGTTGATTGGATTGGAGATTACAATGAACCACTGACTGGCTTTTCTTGGAGGGGTGGATCAGAACGAGAAACCACAGGAATTCAGATATGGAGTGAAGTCTTCCAAATTAACAAACCTGATGGCAAAAAGGTATGAAACTGACCTTTTGATAGTAAGTAATATTTAGTTGTAACGATTACCACTTTTTTGTCATGAATTTATAGGTAGCCTAGTTCCATGATGGGTGGCTCCTATAAAAAATCCTAAGGGATTGTTGATCTATAATCATATAGGTTGTAATCAATATGGATTATAGTCAATAGGTCAACTGATGTACCCTCATATAATTGCTTTATTAAGTGTCTATGATGTCGAGTATTATTAATCAGCAAGCACGGATCACATAATAATTAACAGCTCGGTAAATAACTTTACCTTCTGGAATATGTTAACACTATAACCTAGGCTGCGATAGAGACTGGACCCATAATTTCAATGATGTAGGGCATTTCTAGATGAGAAGACTCTACCAATGCAAGGCAATATTCTTTCTGCAACCATCAGTTTTAAAACCCTGAGAATTTAAGTGATTTTTTCCCAGGGTCTAATAAATATAGTGTATGGTAGAAGCAGAACTTGAACCCAGGTCTTCCTTGTCCTAGGGCCAGCTCTCTACCTACTACCCCATGCTACCATTCACATGAGCTAGGAAAGTTGTTGAACATGCTGTTGTTTTACAGATGAGAAAACTGAGATCTAGCTAGACTAAGAGACATGACCAAAGTGTCAGGATTCCCAACCTAAGTCCTTTGACTCCAAATCCAGGACTTTTTCTGCTATATTACACTGCCATCCTGTAATATTCTACAAATAATATGTAAAATGTGCTGCATTTTTGTGGTTGCAGGTTGCAGTATTATTAATGGACACTCAGGGGACGTTTGATAGTCAGTCAACTCTAAGGGATTCAGCCACAGTATTTGCCCTTAGCACTATGATCAGCTCAATACAGGTAACTAAGGAAATAAATTCATTGTATTGTATTTCTTTAAATTATTGAACACAGTGGGTTTCCAAATGCACATCATTGTGGAAGACGATGGCTAAATGACTGTAGTTTTTGTAATACTGGTTCATTTTACCAAATTGGTTAGTTTACCAACCAATCTGTCACTTTTATGAGACAGGAACATTTTTTATTTTACTTCATATCGAAAAGTTAAAACCATATATAATGAGTCTTCCCAAAAAAAGAAGCCAGTGAGAGGTATTTTTTTTCTGCTTAGAAACTACAGACTTAATCATATTTAATGAAATAGCATATGCAATCATTGTAGCCCACTCTGAGCCACCTCGCCACTGGGTAGCAACTACTTACACGGGTTTTAGAATAAAAACTAGCATTTGTACAGCCCTTGAAGTTTTAGAAAGTGCTTTACAAATATAATTTCATTTTATTCTCACAACAACCTTGGGAGTTAGATGCTATTATATCTGTTTTACATTTGAGGAAACTGATGCAGACAAGTTAAGGTACTTGCCCAGGATCACATAGCTAGTCAGTGTCTGGGTCCAAATTTAAACTCAGCTCTTCCTTATTCTAGGCCCAGTGCCCTATTTTCTGTCGGTCCCCCAAGTTGCTTTCTCACTGGCTGGTTCCCAGAGGGTGGATACTACTTATGGCGAACTAGTCCCAAAATTATAGTTCGTGAGTCCCCCACAGGCTGCTCTCCCTTAGCAATCCTGCCAAAGTCAAAGCAATAGAATTCACTAAGATGACATAATAAGAATAGGAGCTAAAAAACATTTCTTCTCCTAAAGCCCGCGCACACTTTCCAACAAATACACAAAGCATCTGTAGGAATAGTAAGCCCAAACCTAGAGTACAGTGATAAAGAGATCCATGTGTGGGGGATACACATAGCCAAAACTAACAATTCCTATACTGATGGACCTTAATGGCCTTTTTCTCGCTTTGTGCAGTTTTCTTTATAGCCCAACTCTCATTTTGCAGACCCAGGTCTTTCTTGAGCCCATAGTAGGCTTCCTTCTCTGCTATTCTTGAAAGCTATGTCCTCTTTTAAGTGATGGTCTCTCTGTATCCATTCCTATAATTGTCATAAACTATTGTTTGAAGTTTATGAGGTTTATACAAATGTTCCATGCCTTCAGATTAGAGTCTGAAGTGAATATTTGGGTGAATACATTTTACATGGTATTCAAAAACCAATAGACCTCTAAATGAGGTTAGTAGTGGTGTTTTGGTATACACATACATATAATAAAGCAATAAGTGAAGTCAGCATAAGATTTTTTAAAAGAAAATTTTAAATATAGATGACAATTCACAGCATGTTTAAAAAACTTACTTCTAGTATGCTTTTGTGGTTAGTGGATTGCTTATTAATTTAGGTTGGGTTAAGCTGGGTTAACAAAAGCATTTATTAACCCATTTCAAAATGAGTGGTGCTATGAATATGGAAATTTTTATCAATTATTATATAGAAGTTATCTTCACATGTCATAATGACACATTTTTTAAAAATCACGCAATGATCTGTGACAATTTTGAGTTATTATGTAAAAAAACAGAAAAATACACAATATTCAAGAAAACATGTAGTTATATTCTCTTTTAAATTTTATTCTTAATTAAGGTATACAACTTATCTCAGAATGTCCAGGAAGATGACCTTCAGCACTTACAGGTAAAAAATACTTGTGTTCTTTTCAACATATCCAGTTCTACAAGCACTCCAAGTTGATGCATATTATAGAGCCTTATTTTCCCAGGTCATTCTCTGTTTTTGTTAAAACCTACCAGAATAATCTAGAAGCGTAACCACATATACTTTCCATAATTCTTATTCTGGTAACGATTCTAACAAAGACAATATCTTTCCTCAATAAGTCCAAGAAAAGGCAGTTATTGAATATTAATTTTGTCTAAGCTAATTGATGCTTCAACACTGAATGACTCGTTCCAATGGCAGTATTGGCCACAATTCTGAGAATGCCAAAGATTATTGAGTCTTGATTAAAATGAGGTTTTCTACTAAATGTGAGTGGAGCAAAATGTTATGGTTGGGAATAGGATTTTATGGAACAGAGCAATATAGTGATGGATAGATAGATAGAGCTAGATAGATGTGTGTGTGTGTGTGTGTGTATGAGGGGGAGAGAGAGAGGCAGAAAGAGAGAGAGCATATTAAAAATGAGTCTCTCTAAAGTCTTTATTATTCATTCATATAAGCAGATGAGTTCTAGCTTGTATCATGCTATACTGCTCTGTTCACTGAATTCTCTGTTCTCAACCACATTTTCCTCCACTTTTAATAGAAAATATAATTCCAATTAAGACTTAATAATCTTTTATTTTATATTATATGATGAATAATATAAATAGTATCTTTATATGTGCATATCTGGAGAGAGTGGTAGTTAGTATATATGTATAAGTATATAAATATAAATATTTATTTGATTATTTGTTTTATGGTGCTGTTTGACAAAAGTTTGGGAGAACCAACACAGAGAGTTTTACTACAGAGAAATTACATTTGAATTTGAGATAATTTTGGTAGTTTAATATGTTACTAAGATTTGAACTAAAATATTTTATGATTAACAAAATGAATCTATGAATTCATCAGTACGGGGAATTCCTACTATGGAAGCTCCCTTAACTAAACACAGATTACAACACATCTATGATTTTGTATAATAAGCCCTAGGGGCATTTCCTAAGATATACAGAAGTTAAGTGATTTGCCAAAAATCACATAGCTATTAAATAGCAGGATTTGGATTTCAACCCTGGCAGTCTCTTAACTATACCATCCTACCTTTATCTACTCTGTCATTTCTTTATTCTCAGAGTGAACTTACAAGCTCAACTGCAAAAAAAACACATCCTGAACTGTGTTTTTGAATATTTTTTAAGTTAATTTTCTACTAAACCATTTTTCAAATACATGCTATGTTAGACTTTGAAATAAAATTATTCCAATTATGGGAGTTTTTAATTTTTTTTTTTAACATTTTTTGTTCTTTTTTTAAGTTTTTTTTTCCAAATTCTATTCCTCCCTCCCTTCTTCTTCCTCTCTGAGATGGTAAGCAATCTGATACAGGTTATATATGTGCAAATCATGTAAAACATTATTTTGTGCAAGAAAACTGGAAAAGGAAGGAAGGAAGGAAGGAAGCAAGGAAGGAAGGAAGGAAGGAAGGAAGGGAGGGAGGAAGGGAGGGAGGGAGGGAGGGAGGGAGGAAGGGAAGGAAGGAAGGAATGAAGGAAGGAAGGAAGTGAGGGAGGGAGGGAGGGAGGGAGGGAGGGAGAGAGGAAGGAAGGGAGGAAGGAAGGGAGGAAGGAAGAGAGAAAGTGTGATTTAGTCTGTATCCAGACAACATCATTTCTCTGGAGGTGGATAGCATTTTTCATCATGAGTCATTTGGGATTGTTCTGAATCACTATTGCTGAGAATAGCTAAGTATCATCATACAATATTTCTATTACTGTGTACAGTGTTCTCCAGGTTTTGCTCATTTCACCTTGTATCAGTTCATATAAGTCTTCCCAGGTTTATCCGAAATCATCCTGCTCATCATTTCTTATGCCACAAGAATATTCCATTACATTCATATATGCCAACTTGTTCAGTCATTCCCCAAATGATGGGCATCTCCTCAGTTTCAATTCTAAAGTACCACAAAAAGAGCTTCCATGAATATTTTTGTACAAATGTGTCCTTTTCCCTTTATTAAAAATCTCTTTGGGATGCAGACCTATTAATGGGGCGGGTATGCCGTTTGGACATAGTTCCAAATTGTTCTCCAGAATGGTTGGATCAGGTTCAAAACTCCACCAACCGTACATTAGTGTCCCAGTTTTCCCACATCCCCTCCAACATTTATCATTTTCCTTTTCTTCATATTAGTCAATTTGTTGGCTGGTACATCAGAGTTGGTTTAATTTGCATTTCTTAATTGATACTTATTTAAAGCATTTTAATTAATTTATTTATTTTTAGTTTTCAACATTCACTTCCACAAGACTTTGAGTTCCAAATTTTCTCCCCATTTCATCCCTCCTCCCACCCCAAAATGACATGCATTCTGAATACCCCTTCCCCTAATCTGCTGTCCCTTCTATCTCTGCCCCCCATCCCCTTACCCCTCAATTTTCCTGTAGGATAGGATAGATTTCTATACCCCATTTAAAGCACTTTTATATGATTATACATGGCTTTGATTTCTTCATCTGAAAACTGTTCGTATCCTTTGACCATGTATCAATTGGGGAATGACTTATAGTCTTGCAAATTTGACTCAATTCTCTATATATTTGAGAAATTAGGACTTTATCAGAGATACTTGATGTAATTTCCAAAGCAAAAAAAATTAGGGAGAAGAATGATGTCATTTTACATATTTTTTGCAAATTTCTTTAATGTCTAGTTTAATAGAAGACGGTTGGATTTTCATATCTGATTCTCCATTCAATCTGTCAAAATATACTGTTTTGGTGGAAGTATATGAAGACAATATGGCTTTACACAGATATGTAGTTAGAAAAAAAGAATGTTTTAATAGGTAAATAACCTCTTATTATTAATATGAAAACAATTTTAACCTCACAGACCCCTGAGTCTTGGAGATCCCCATGTGTCCACAGACCACACTTTGAGAATTACTTCCCTAGAGCTACATACCCTCAGAGCTCAAGAGATAACTCTAAGAGGTGGGATTTTTTTTAAAGCCTTAGCTCATGAGCTCCCACTGGTGTTTCCTATTATGACTACAACTAAAGTCAATTTCTCACCCTCAAGGGGGAAATAGTCAGGAGCGTGGGGCCAAATCTGAGGCCCAGGGCTCTGCACCTTCCTATCCCCAATTGATTTCTTTTCAGGAGTTTACCTAGAATGTTATCTCTTTTTTTTTGATGCCAAGTCCTCTATTCCCCAATTTCAATTAGCTCATGTCTCTTAGCCAATCAGAACCATCAGTCGATCAGTCAACAACATTTATTAACCTAATAAACACCTACTATGTGCCAGGTATTATGCTAAGCACTGGAGATACAAAGAAAGGTATGAGTTCCCGTTCTCAAGGAGATTACTACAGTCTAATGGAGGGAGACAACATATAAACAGCCACATACTAACAAGTATGTACAAGATAAATTAGAAATAAGCAACAGAGGGAAGGCACTAGAATTAAAAGGGAAATGGAAAGGCTTTGTTAAAAGGTGAGATTTTTGACTGCAACTTGAAGGAAGTTAGGTAAGAACAGACTTCCTGTCAAACTAGAAAGATCATACTTAGTGAACAATCTAGATGTGTTCTCACCTATTGAATATGTCTTACTAAATTTACTTTAGGTGGGATTGATTTCACTGATTGACTTAATCACCTTACACCAAGTTTTTTTTGGGGCAGGGGCACGCTTATTTTAAAAAATCACTAGATCCTACCATCTCTGATAGCTATTGTCCTATTACTGATTATTTTTTATTAATGATGTAGTTGCCAAATCTAATTGCCCCTTCTCAGTCCTTCTCTTTCTTAACTTCTCTACATCATTTAACAATACTGATATCCTTTTTCTAGACACTTTTTCTTCTCTGAGGTTTTGTTTTTGTTTTTGCTTTTTTCACACTGTTCTTTCTTGGTTTTCCTCCTACCTGTCTGATTGCACCTTTTCACTCTCTTTTGCTGGATCTTCATCCATGTTATGCCCACTAATTATGGGTGACCCTCAAGGCTTTTGTCCCAGACCTTCTTTTCTTTCTATACTATCTCATCTGGTAATTTCATCTGCTTCCATGGGTTCAATTTTAAGATCTATTCAGATGGTCCTCTGTTCTATATATCTAACCTTAGTCTCTCTCCAGAGTTTGAGCCTCACAACACCAAATAATTATTAGACATTTCAAACTGGACATCCTATATTTCAAACTCAACAGGTCCAAAACAGAATTCATTATTCCCCCCAAAAAAAATCCTATTCCTCTCTTCAAAATTTCTTTTGAGGGTGCTGTTGAGGTTTAGGGGTGCTGGACCCCAAAATATCGACACAGGTCCTACCTTGAATGAATTTGACCCAAGCCTTCTTTCAGCCAAAGGCAAAGTTTTTAGTATATTGGGGGTAGGTGAGATTTAAGAATTCACCCTGGGTAGATGAGACTGATTCTTTTTGTAGAAAAATGATCTGGATGGGGAGTTACCAGTAGGCTAGGTGACTGTGAGGTAACAGAAAACGTCAGGCACCTGAACCATGTGGCCAAGGGAGAATGAGGTCTAGATAGAATTAAGGGTGGGAAGTGGCAGGGGGCCATCCAGAGGTAAGAACCAATGATTACTTGGGATGGGTAGATGCCTTAGGTGAACTCCAGAGACTTGACCATGTGGGAAAAGGAACAAACTCAAGGAGAGTTCAGGGGGGAGGGGGAGGCCATACCCCATCAGTACCACCATCCTTCCACTCACCCACATTCATCTTTTGACTTATCACTCTTCTCCAGATATTCAGTTGGTAAGTCTTGGTGTCTCTAACTTCATAACATTTCTTGTATATGTTCCCTTCTTTTCTCTCACAAAGCACCACCTTATGAAGTCCTAATCACCTCTCATTTGGCCTATTATAATAGTTTTCTGTTTTCCCAGCCTCAAGACTCTCCCCACTCCAATCCACCCTCCATTTAACTGTC